CGTTTACAACATACTCAAACCATCTTTATGAGTTAGAATAAAAACATCAAAAATATCTTTTACAAAAACTAGACACTTTCTTCGTTCAGACAAAACGGGGGTTGACGTAAAATTAATTCAAGCATTACTTGAAAACACATAATATTATGCCCGTGGTCAGAACGAACGGTTTAGCTTCTTGAAGCAGGCAAATGATGGCGTTAATAAAGGGTTAATAAGCTGCGGCGTAAATACATGAAGGTACTGAAAGATGAACCAAATGTTACGAACTTAAAGGAAAATTTTAGAAGCGGTTTCTTACTTCAACGAGTTGTCAGAGCAGAGTTTCTGAGTTCTAATTGAACGTTACACGGTCGCTTTTCAGCACAAAGGGGCTTGCTACTAACCCAGACATCGGGTGTTTCCCAGAAATCTTGACCAACACCAAAAGTGGGCATTGCCCTACTTACATAGGAGAAGTTTGGTTTCATTGGTGAGCATATTATTCGTTTGATATAGAAAAAAACTCTCATTGTCTTTTAAAGAAACTGAACAAGGAGCAAACACTTTACCTTCCATTTTCCCAAAACAGCATTTTTCGGGATAGCCCCTTTGTGTTTAAAAGCGACCATATAGTGTGGTAAATATTTACTGTCACTACCGCACGCAGATGTACAGGTTTTTGGGGCCTTGAACTGTCTTATAATATGCGAATGCAGAACACACTTATAATATGCACTTTAAAAAAAAAAGTGTTTTACGGCGCTCGCAACTGCATAAAGGCTGGTATGATAAGGTCCTTTGACCGCGCGGGACACAGAAAATGTTCCGTTGCTATCCGGATTCGAACCTGTGACCTACTGAATGAGAGGCAACATCTTGAGCTCAAAACCACGAGAGCCCCATAATATGCACTTATGGCATGGCCACTAACATCATCACAAATCAATCGTTTACAAGAACATTTTCTAACCTCACTGTAAAACATAAATCATTATAAGGAAATACAGAAATAAAAGGGGCAAAAAAACAACAACAAACAACAACAAACAACAACAACAGATGTTTAAAAAACACATGATGAAACAGTACAACGTAATAAGGCTAAGTGTAAAATTATAGTTGAAATAAAAGACATCAAATATCTTTTTTTTAAGGCTAGAAACTTTCTTCGTTCGGATATAGATCTAGATCTTAGCGTATCTAGATTTATACGTAGACATTCGAGTATAACGGAGAAAAATGAACCAGAGAAGTGCTATTTTACAATACTTTAGCATGAGGCAGGAATGAACCTATAAATAACACCCGAAGTGTAGATCTATCTGTTGTGAAATTTCCCAAAATACGTTTGTAACATACTCAAAGGATCTTTACGAGTTAGAATAAAAACATCAAAAATATCTTTTACAAAAACTAGACACTTTCTTCGCTCAGACAAAACGTCGACATTCCAGTAAAATGGATAAAAATGAACAAGAAAGCGCTCTATACTATACCTTAGTATCTAAATAAATACCTTTCACAGAACTAAAAACTTTCCTCGCTCAGATATTCGTCAACATTCGCGTAAAACGGATACACACATGCCAAACGGATAAAAATGAACAATAAAAGTGTTATTTTACTATACCTTAGCATGAGTCAGGAACGAACCTATAATAACAACACTCGAAGTGTAGATCTATCTGTTGTAAAAATTTCCCCAAATACTTCGCAACGAGTGGCGTTTGTAACATAACTCAAACTATCTGTACGAGTTGGAACAAAAACATCAACTATCTTTTACAAAAACTAGACACTTCCTTCGCTCAGACATAACGACGACATTCCAGTAAAACGGATAAAAATGAACAAGAAAAGCGCCATACTATACCTTAGTATCTAAATAAATACCTTTCACAGAACTAAAGACTTTCCTCGCTCGGATGGATACGTCAACATTCGTGTAAAACGGATGCTCACAAGCCAAACGGATAAAAATGAACAAGAAAAGCGCTATACTATACCTTAGCATGAGGCAGGAATGACGATAACACCCAAAGTGTAGATCATCTAGATCTAGAATCTAGATCTATCTGTTGTGAACTTTTCCCAAATACGTTGCAGCGAGTGACGTTTGTTGTAACATACTCAACCGATCTTTACGAGTTGGAATAAAAACATCAAGTAAAGAAATACATTTCACAGAACTAAAAACTTTCCTCGCTCAGATATACGTCGACATTCGTGAAAAACGGTTACACACATGCGAAGCGGATAAAAATGAACAAGAAAAGTGTTGTTTTACAACACGTTAAGTAAGCCTTAGCATGAGGCAGGAACGAACCTATAATAACAACACCCGAAGTGTAGATCTATCTGTTGTAAAATTTCCCCAAATACTTCGCAACGAGAGACGTTTACAACATACTCAAACCATCTTTATGAGTTAGAATAAAAACATCAAAAATATCTTTTACAAAAACTAGACACTTTCTTCGC